TCAACATACTGCTAGGCTTGCTTGAGCTGAGATGGTAAAGAAATGGTGAACTTATAAAGAGGAGCATAAAATCCTTAGGCACCAAGCCCATGCTGAGCTCCATGGTTCTTTGGCTCAGTGGCTAACAGTACCTGAATAATAATAATAAGCTAGTTTAGGCATGTCTACACCACACTGCAGCTGCTGCTGTTGCTGGAATAAAGTAAGTCAGTTCAACAAAAGCAGCTATCCCAAAGCAAGGCAAGGACCCATCACATCATAGTCAAGATCTCAGTTCAGCTGGAGATCTTGATTATGTAGCAAGAAAAAGTAATTTCCTCTTTTTGGGCCAAATCCTGCTGCATGCTTAATTCACTTCTTGCCAGCATATTTTGTGTCTAAGCTGTTAGGATTCAGTCAATGAGTTTTTCAAAAAAAGTCCTTTTTGCAGGACAGGGGCCTGATGAAGCACTGGGCAAAGACTCATGATGTTTAGTCATTTCCCTCAGTTGAGCTACTGCCCTGTGTGAAGTCTGGCTTGTCACTTTATTATGGCTGCATAACCCCAGCTTTAAAAAAAACCAAGATATAACAATACTTAACGCTGTGCTTTGATATCTACAGATTAAGACCTACAAATGAAGAAGGGGAAAATAGAAAAGTATCTGACAGGCTGAGCTCCAGTGTGGAAACACACCCTCAGTTGTCTGCTGGATTCTGGTCCTTCACCTAGTTGAATCAGATCTCAGATCAAAAATTACCTGACAAACAAAGAAAAATTTTATTTCTGTCCTCTCATTTGGGCTGACTAGTACAAGATATTTTGGGATTTACTACTGAGAGTTGTAAAACATTTTACACTTCCCATTGCCATAGGAAGGAATTTTAGACACTCAGTACACAGAATAATCAGACTGAGACATAGTAGAACAAGGTCCCAAATCATGGGCACCTAAATCCACATCTTTTGAAAAACTCAGTTTTAACAAAGGCTTAGTCACATAGATCCTGAATGTGTTACCACTTTCAGACTGTTCTTTGCTGTTACATATTGCTGACATCTAAAGTTCTTCAAATACCACTCTGTCAAGCTTTGTGTTTTATAGAGCAGGATCATCCCTGCCCCATCACGTTGTTATAGGCCAAACTGATGCCACTGTGGGAAAGCCCACGATGTCACAAGGACACTTTGGGCATATCTCAAGCAGGTAGCTGGAAAGCTCTATTCAGTTCTTAGGTCCATGTCCAGTGCTTATCATTGGCATCCCATATCCATACATTAGAGCAAGACCTGGGCATACACTTTCTGCATAGAGAATGAAGGGATGAGGACTTGACCGCATGCCACAGTTAGCTAGTGTGAATGAACCTTGAATGGAGTCAGCATTCCTCCATCCTTCCTTTCTGCCTTTAGACAGCAGGATGTATGACTTTAACTGCTCTCCAGTGGGGTACCCAGCAATCCAGAGAAGATCTGCTTTAGATAAAACTTCAAACAAAAGATCTCTACTCCCACTGCCAGCACTCTTGTGCACAAACACCACTTAATTCCAGACTCCAGACTCAGGGCGAGGCAGGGAAAGAATCCAACAGCAGAGGCCATAAGACTGAATGCCCACTCAAAACACTGCAAAAAGAAAGCCAGAAGATTTCAAAAGCAACTTCAGATACATTAAAAATAAAAAATAGGGGGAAAAAAATCAACATTAGTGACATGTAGACTCTATAAAGGCTCAACTCTTTTTTTGAGGCACGAAAGTTCAAGATATTGTAAAGTGCAAGTGCACCTTTACAGTATTTTCTACTTGTTGTTTGGGAAGGTATTTTTTAAATGCTTCTTCCTAGGGACATTTTCATCATATGCCTGTATTTCAGTCTCAGATTCTCAAGTCTATGGCAGAGGTAAAATCTCAGAACTTAATTTTCTTCAAACACAGTTTGAGCCTTGCACATATAAATCTGGGCAGAATTCATCCAGGTGCATATAAGCTATTGTAGAGGAATGCAAAATATAGTTTCCTTTTAATGACAAAGAAACCCAAATATTCACAGATACGTTTTTTAGACAGGGACAAAGCAAAAAAATTTGAAGCTTGAAAATACTGATCCAGTCAATGGAGTCTTCCAATTCCCTGAACCCACACGTTAAACCACACAGATAATCCTTATCCCTTCTCCCGTGAGTCTCAAGGTGCTTTGGTGCACATTTGATTTACGTGCTGTGAGTTTAGAGCTCAGAATCACTGCTGCTTTTAGATCAGGAAATGCAGGTAGGAATATAAGTATTAAAAGATAAACTGAAAGTCAGCTCTGCAGTTTCCAAGGCTAGCCACAAACTATGAAGAATAATTGTAACAGACAAGAAAATATTTCTTCATCAGAGTCACACTACTTTGAAAGAGCCTAACAAACCCAGCATTTCTGAATAGCTGCGTTAGTGCTCTGATGGCTTTAGTGAGGTGTGAATTGCACAGATTTCAAATAGGGACTGCTTAAACACCAAAAAAGATACTATAAAATGATAAATTTTTTTACATAAAGGACATTAACATCAAAAAACCACTTTTCCGAGACTGTGAAAATAACAAAATAAGACCTAAAAGATAAAAGAATGAAAAAGTTTGAGTAGCAACTGTCTTCCGGATGCTTGGCACACATAGTACAACTCTCAGATCTGATTTAATAGGCAGTTAAATATACTATGCATTTTGATACAAAGCAAATACTCTGAAAAATCGTATGTTCAAGAGGGAAATGCTGATATTATTGCTATGAGTTTAGCTGTTCTATTTCCTTACTTCATTTTAATGCTGCAAACTTCATATTGTTTCAACATTCTTTTCCTGTGCTACCAATATCCATAGCCGGAATTTTTTTTTGCACACACTGAAGCCAAAGTTCATATGTTTGCATCCAGTTTTTTCATGTACCCTCTGGATGGTGCATACCATGGTGCCGTGTCAAGTCTCTGCCATCAACAGGGGAAGTTACACTGCTCGGTTAATACTCTTGTAAACTTTGATCTTTCTTTAGTTCCTATATATTTTGCTATTTTTCAGGAATGTGAAAGTGGCTAAGGTTTTAACAGAAGTCCCCTACCAGATTTAGCTATTCCAGCTAAAGATCTCCCCACTCTCCAGCTGCCTGTCAGTTGAAGATTAGGACTCTAATAGCTCTTTGGCAGAGGGAAACCTGCAAATTTTAACAGCTAAAAGTAAAACATGTCAGTCTAGGACTAAGGAACTTTCCTGGTTTAGGCAGCACTCAAATATATTATTTCATTTTCAGAGGTGCAGACAGAGAAAAGTTTTCACCTGGCATAGCTATTCGTAGAATTAGACTGTGGAGAGGCACCATCTGTGGCTGCTCAAGCAGAGGTTATGCCATTGGCTTCAAGAAGAACAAGAGCAAGCACAGAGGAATGCTCCTCTCCCTTGTTTTGCTGAGTCCACCAGTAATAACAACGCACTAATGAAAAATAGCTTGGCTTGAGCAACAAAACACATACCAGAGTGTGTTCAGAGACTATTCAGAGCAAGCATTCAGTTCTACATGTACACACAGAAATAAAATCTGATTTAACTAAAGTCTGCAAGCAATAGGACAATCATATGCTACATTACATTTAAACACACTACCTTTTGTCAGTCTATCACGTATAGACTGACAAAAGGTAGTGTGTTTAAATGTAATGTACCTTTACCTCATTTAGATCCCTCCTAAACTTTCACTACTACTGCACAGCCTTTGCCTAAAAGAACTTGTGTGTTAACACCCAGCAAAAATCAAAAAATGAGAAAAAGATTTCTTGGGTGTACTCCTGCCTAAATTATGTAACCACGATATTTGCTCACTGGAAACCACCATCACCCCCTTCAAACTGCATGCTGCAATGAATTTCTCCAATGCTGGGCTGTCAATTCCATCATTTGGGCAAGCATATTCTAAACATTCAATTTGCTGTGGATGCTTTGCAGAAACTCCTCACTGTTGTTGTTGTTCAGGACCTTGTTTAGCACCAGCAAGTCCACACCTGTGCTGGCAGGGCATTAGCTGTGCACTCAGACAAATCTCAAAGCGGCCCAGCAGCCTACAAAGGTCGGCTTCAGGCAAGAGATACTGTTTCATGTTCTCAGTGACCTTGGCCGTGGTGGGAAAGGAAAGGAAGCATGTTAAGCTGTCATAATAGAGCTGGTAGCAATTTTGATAGCAGGAGAAGGAGGACAGAGTGAGATTTAAGCCAGTTCTGGTGCCAGATCAAATAGAGACCAGGATTGCCAGAAAGAGCTTCCCTTTGGGTTCTTGTTTTAATTCAGATTCCTTCAGACAGCTTCTACAGAACCAAAACAACTACGTTATAACCACAGACAGGCCTAACCATGATGTCTGGCTCCAGATCTAAACTCCTTACAGTCAGAGTGTTAGCTCAGCTCCCCAGAAAAATCATCACCATTTTCCAAATGTATGTGTCAGGGGGGCTATTAGTCCTCTCTCTTCTCTCCAGGGAAAGGCAGCATACTCTTTGTGTGTCTTGCTCGATTAAAAGATACATTTTTAAAATAAAAATGAAGGAAAATAACTGATAAAGTTCCTCAAAGGAAGAGGATGTTCTGTCTGCAGACACCCAGACAAGGAATAAGCTTTTCCAGGAGAAGCCCTCTGCATGCAAGCTATGCGATGTGGGACGTAAGTTCCGCAGCTTCCAAAGAGAGGAAAGACCAGTTCTGCAGTGGTTCTCTCCAAAGCAACACCATCCATCTCAGTCCTGCCTCATCTCCCAGCCACATTAATTGTGTCTGAAAGAGCCCTCACCCCTGCCCTGAGGTTGGAATTCTCACTGGTCTGAAGGAGAAGGTACAGCTCCTGCCCTTGTCAAAATACCATCACCCAAGTGTCACTCAGTGTATCCACATCAGGTGTCTGTGGCCAGGTGCTCACTGTGGGGTAGCTGCAGGGTGGCCTTTGTGAGGAGTGGCCGGGGCTGCCCTGTGCTGGACACGGACTGTTCCAGAAGGTTCCAACCAACACACCACAGGACACAGCTGAGCCCCTCAGCCAAGATGGTAGTTGGTGCTTGGGGAAAATGTGTTTAAGAAAGGGCAGAAGACACCACACAGGTGAGGAGTAAGAAATGGCTCCACAGACACCCAGGTCAGAGTAGAAGGAGGGGAGGAAGCACTCCAGGTGCCAGAACAGACAGTCCTCTGCGCCCCTGCCAAGATCACAGTGCAGCAGGTGGATATTTCTTGTAGGAATTGTAGCTTGCAGTTGGCTAAGATCAGCCCACCACAATGTCTCACAAGAGATAGAAAAAATCTGCTTCGTTCACTAGCTCTCCCTTTGCACCCAAGACCTAGGCAAGCAAGTGCTCCTGGCCAGGTGATCTTGGCTGATGTTGCCAGGGCTCCTGTACCAGGCTGGATATGCCACAGGGACAGGTAGGAAGAATATAGGCCACCTAAAATAACCCTGAACAGCATTAGTAACTGTCTTGATACTATGGGAGAGACTATTCTCCCACACAGACTACACCAAAACCCTACCTCCAACTCCTGACTGATGAAGAAATTAAACCATTGTGTTTGGGAGGTACTTTAGGGCACACATGACTTCCACAAACACAGCAATGTGTATGCAGGTGCCTGCCTCAATTCCCTCACTGGCAATGAAGTTCTACCATCATAATATCACTCCCTCACTGTGGGTAAGTCAAACACAGAATGGCAAGCTAAGCATTACCCTCACAGAAGTCTCTCTAGCAAATAAAGCTACAACAAGGTTCACTTGCAGCCCTACGGGAACGGGAATCTGCGTTTCCAGCTACAGCCTCACAGCTCTGTGCCATCTAAAACCACTTCTGAATGCACTCTATCATTGCAGGCCCTTGGCAGAGAGCTGTAAGCCCTTGTAATGTGTTGAATGTGCACAGACCCAGGTAGTATCCCTCTCTCCATTGTCTCTCTTTCTTCAGGTTAACCATAGCAAGTTCTGCTGAACTTTGGCTCAGCTTTATCTTAGCAATCTAAGTGAAGTGGTTTCCCCCTCTTCAATGCAATTCTGTTGCAGTCTCCTTTGCCTCCTCACTTCATCAGCTCAAGTCCTTCTTCATCTCAGCATTGCCAGTCACCTGTGAAAGCTCTCCTGACCAGGACAATCCCTATCCTGCAGCCTGGAGTGCCTTAAAACTCAGAGCATTTTCTGTTCAAGACAGTGGAGAGAGGGAAGGGAAAAAGAGCAAGAGCCTTTTCTTTCAAAGTAGTTACCCATATATGCAGTAATAAAGGGTTTCACAAAATGGTTTAGCAATCCCTTCCTCTGCTCTCCAGGCCATCAGAAACTCAGTTTTTCAGCACTGAGCTCATCCCAGATGGAGGAGCAAGGCTACAGCACACAGAGAGTGGACATGCTGCAGGGGAAGTCTGCGCAGCTGCAGAGCTTTACTGCTTGATTCAGTCACTCAGGATTTGTTTTGAGGATGCTTTGTGCTGAGAGAACATTAAGAGGGGGCCACACACATGGTCCCAGCAGAGAGAGAGGTGGCAGTGTCAGGGAGTGCCAGGATAAGGTGCTCAGGCAAGCACACCACAACTGTCCCCACAGCCAGACAGAGCCACATGCTGCCAGCCAACAGCCTGCAAGGTTGAGAAAGAGCCAAAACTCCAACAGTTTCTCTGCCAACAGTCTTGGCATGCTGCCCCCCTTCTCCCATTCTGTGCTCCTGGAAGTGCTATGGGTCACTTCTGGGCACAAAGATGTCCTGCAGTTCATGACAGGTATTCAAAGCTGCTGGAACCTGAGCTGGAGAACAGGTATAGCACAGTCTATGGCAAGCTATATTGTCCTCCATACTCCTGTCCTCCTCCCCACCGCCCTCCAATCCCCTATAAAAAGATTTCTCATTTGCCAAGGTTTAACAGTGAGGAGGGGAAAAATATCTGTCAAATTCTTAACCTCAATTGGATTTACCAAAAGCCCTTTGGAAACAGCTGCTTGAGGAAGATTTCTGTCGAGCCCGTGTTCCAGATGCAGACATTTGGTTGCTCAGTTCCTTGTTGCCGCTTTAGTCTGTGCTTTTGCCACACCTGGACCTGTCCTCACCTGGAATAACCAGTCCCTTCCATAGCTTCTGCCTAAGGCTGCTGTTGGGAGGTGAAGCCCAGCTCCTCATCTGTTCCCTCCCTTGAGGAATGTGTCACGGCATGGCCTCACACACACTCACTCATACACAGCCTGGCTGCGACTCCCCACTGAGCATAGAGAGGAAGATCTAAAGCAATCACAGTAGCTTCTTCCCTGACACATCATGTACCAGAAAACTGTCCTGTGCTTACAAGCTTGGGAAAAAAACCTCCTTTATCACTTCTGTGCAAAAATAAGCTCTGTGCCAGAAGTGTTGGATGCGGTGTGTTTGCGAGGCGGGGTGGCAGTATCAAAGCACTTTACAGCCAGGTAACAGGGACTCCAGGAGAAGTCCCATTTTTATGTCACACAGTGCATAAGGGTACATTAGCAAAATGAATTTATAAGCGGATACTTAAGCATGCTTTGAACAAGCTGGTTTGGATTTTAGCAGAAAGGTAGACTCATTCATGTGGACTTTGTATCCAGATGAGATCCAGGCTGTATTAATTCAAATGCAGAGCACCATGAGATTGTATCTGAGTTATCATTGCATGCTGCTCTCCTGTGCCCTGTAAATACACCTTTAGTATAGATGGGAACAGAACCTCTCTCTTTTGAATACATCAGGTGCCTTGCCATGAGACCCTGGGATACATTTGCCTGGTGAAACCCCATGAAAACTTGCAGGACAGACTACCACCTTCTTTTGGAAGCCTGTTCTCCAAAGCTGTTGTGCTACATATGCATCATTCTCCCAAAGAAATTTTTTCTTGCCACACTATCAGATGACACAATTCACATTTTTAAATTTGTAGAAATGGGAGGTTAGAAAATATATGGTCTGTAGAAATGTTTTCATGTTTCCTTCTTAAGTTTTCATAGAAAGCAGATCATGTTTAAAAAAAAGTTTGTTTATTTTTCACTTTCTCACTGGGTCACTAGGCAGAAAATAAGGCTCTAATTTGGAGGCAGGTGGATTGTGGTTGTAACCATGGGGTATTTTATATTTCTCAACTGTATTAGCAAATTTCCCTAGAAAATACTTTCCTAAATCTCAGTGGTTCTCTTACAAAATTTAACAAAACACTGAGTTTTTGAGGAATTATTTGGAAATCTTCTATGTTAACTACTATTGTTCTGAATGGTGGAACTAATTTGGAGACATTATTACTCACTCTGGAAAAATTTAACCAAAGTGCAAACAAGCAAAAAAGACTTGACACCAAAAGCCACGAGGAAGCAGTCCCTTGCCCTGAACTGCTCATCAGGTTCTCCATAAATGCAAACTCTTGTTCCAGCTCCTTTTTCAGAATTTGTGAGTCTGTGCAGGGAAACTGCTTCTGCATTGGTACATTATGGTTGCAAAATGTTACTCATTACCCTTGCAAACATTGTTAAGTGAGTAATGGACAGCCTCAGTGGTCCACGTAATGGCAACACTGTAAATAAAATCCATTCAGCCATTACCTTTATTTAGTGGTACAGAAGAAGCAAAAAGCAAGGAAGTTCATGGACAAAAACGTCATTAAGGTTATGTGATGACACAGATGACTACATAGGTACTGTTCATCTCTGAGACTTCGTGTTTCCAGATGCCTCATAAATGATAATTTTTAATTCAACTAATTACAGACACGCTGTGGTGACTCCCCAGACAGACTTGTAGTTCTTTTAGGTTACTGTTGTTATTATTATTATTGTAAGCACCATTCAGAATCTAAGCCCTTTGACACTAAACACCACCCATATGTAACTATGCAAATATGGTCTTTACTGAAAATACTTTGTAATTTGAGGCCTGGTCAGCATCATTTTTGTAACCGTCCCACTTCACAGAAATGGTTTTACAAGTATATTGCACTGAACAAAGTTATGTAACTATAACCACATTTATGTTAGTTAAGCTTACATCTCCAAAGAAGCCATGCTGAACTAAGTATGCCATACTAAAGTAATATTCATGCCAGAACTGTACCAGTTTGACTATACTGGGATCCAAAATCACAGTGAAACCAGTATTCAAAGAGTCTAATGAAAACTGGGGCACACGTAAGTTAGAGGGCAGAAGATACCATCAGTACAGACATAAGCAATTTTACATCTGCACTTCAGCTTAACTCCTTTAAGAATCTTCTATCTGAAACAAAGATGCCTTGTTTCCAATAGCTTTCTCTGTTGTGTTTGACTGGCTTTTTAACTGCATTATACTGAGGCTGCACTGTTACTCACCTCTCGTTACATTCCAGGGAATACACACGAATTATGCGCATTATGAAAGTCCAGAAAGAAGGAAGCTCATACCTTACTATTCACTAGAGAATCTGCAAGAGACACTGACCAAACAATGGATCCTGTGATGCACACACAGTAAGATGTGAGCCTCAACTGAACCCTTCTGTAATTGGGGCATTTGGACAATCCCTGTCCCATGTGGATTTCCTGGACTCTAATAAGCTTGAGCTCATTCTGTAGTCTTTCCCTAAGGTATAATAATAAGGTCTCTACCTGTCACCTATTTCATGTAACTTGTGTGAACTTAATACCTTGCAGATTTCTGATTGGGTGCAAAATGCTTTTGAAGTTAGATAACAGATTCAAAAGTTACACAGACTTACCCAGTGCAATTACATTCTCAGTATTCCATTCGAAAAGCAGGCCTAACAATAAATTCAAGTTAAACTGACAAGACATTTTTCTAAGGAACACAGTGATCCCTATTTCATTTTCTTTAAAAAAAAATAAATAAATAAATAAAAAATGAAGAAACAAACAACACCTACAATCAAACAAGGCAAAAAAGAGCTGGATATGGAATCAGGACCCCTCACCTGTGCAGTACTCAGCTTTCTCCTGCTTCACTCTTGTGCTGCCATATCCCTCCTTGCTGATGAGTATATCCCACCTCAACCCTGCTCTGACTTGTATGGCACATATAGGAAGAGAGTAGGCAAGGGTTTCGTGAGTGCTCCTGGATTCTGTGATTGGTGGCAGATTTAGGGCCAACAGTTTCCTTGGCCCTCAAGATATGCATGGGCTAGCAACAATCTTTCACATGCTGATAACTTGCCACTATCATGCACAAACCTCTGGAATTGAAAGCCAAATTATCCTTCTAGGTTTAATGCCTCTCTTTAGAAGTTTCTCTGTTTCAAACCACCTCTGTTCACTCTAGATCTCTTAGGGCTTGAGGATTTGACATGATGATGGTAGGTTGCAACCTGGATAGCTTTTTTCCTTCCATGCTATATTACTCCAAGGAGGGTTGGTAGATCCTCTGCATGTTCTGAATTCAACTTCCTACTAGACAGGTTTCTTGGAAGAAAATTCAGCAGACAGCTACATTCTCTAAAGTCAGATCATAGGATAAATAGCTCTGGACTGTGCTGGTCCCATATGAGGTATCAATGCTGTGTCTTTGTCTTATCACTCCACTCCTCCTCCTTTGCAAACTCAAAACACTTTCTCTGAATAATCACAACTGCACTGATTTCTTCCCTCTGCAAGGGAGCCTGGAGCCTGTGTTGGTATTTTTAGGTAACCCACTTGCTCCATTTTCTTTCCCCTCTGTGAATAGATCCTTCACTTATTCTAACCCATACTGCCACATACATTCCTTGTCTCTTTCGTGGTTCTGGTACTCTTGGAACTGTAAATGCAGCACCTACTGCCTATATACTGGGCTACACTATCTCTTTATGCTGCATTTTTTGTGTCTGGACTCTCCCAGGGCTGAACACACTATGATCAGAAGTACAGAGCTAGAGACCACAAAAAGACCTTGATAAAAGTGGTTAAAGTATTATATAGAAAGCCAAGCAAAGATTCCAATTAGTATTTTATGATTATTCATCAAAGCTGATAAAGATCCCATTCCAAAGGAAGGGGGTAAGAGACCCAGCCAGCCAAGGAAGGTAACCTACAATTGAGGAAGTTTCTCATCCAAATTCTGTCCTGTTTCATAGTGACAGTCGGCATAAAATATCACTGCTCTGACATGAGGAAGCTTTGGTGCCAAATTTGTGAAAGTATGAAAAACAAAACCAGTAACAAGGCAGGATCAGTCAGTCCTTTTATAGCTGTGTCCAACCCATGCTGCTGCTGTCTCAAAGGAGTTTCCCCTTTGGTTCTAACCATATCCTGGTTTCTCATTCTTCTCATCTTCTGCTTTGGGAATCTTAGGAATGTCTTTTTACATATACCTCTTTCAGCCTGTGTGCTTTGTCCGACCCAAGTCCTTTTTTGCCTCATGCTTTTCATTCTCAATTCCAGTCTTTCAGTTTCTGTTTCCTTTTTATTTTGGCCCACAAACAACCCCCTTCCACAGCATGTCAACAGCAGTGGGAAGTAACCTAATTAATAGTACTTTGATAGGCTACCCCACACATGCACACACCCAGTATCCCACTGGCAATTCAACAGCCCTCTCTCAAGAAAGGAAAATATTTCCATACTAATTAATAACAACATCGGGTATTTCTGGGCAGAAGGATCTGGGATTCCCATCTGGGCCTAGATCTCTCGAGCTGACAGAGCAATTGTACCTCAGAGCACATTTCCTTTTCCAAATCCTTGTGTCATTAACTGCTTACACTGTTCTCTGTATCAAATATTTTCAGCCTGGATTGTATGTTAGCTGGTATCTCTGCAGCTGACTTCAGGCTGAATTCCTTCAGCACTCAGACTGTATTTCTCATTTAGCACATGGCACTTATTCACTTATTCAGAAACCAGCATTGCTTCCCTTCTCTGTTCTCCATCAGGATTCACACAAGCCAAGGACCTTTCCATGCTGTGGTTCTCAAAGGACACGGGTGCTACAAGATCCATTTAAAATGTCTCTGCTGCTTGGCTTGCCCTGACATCCACTTCCCTGTCTCTGTTTCTGCCACAACAATTCACAAAAAAATCAAGTGCTGTTTTTGAAGTATTTTACAGAGGACTAGTTCTCAGTGCTGTGATCTACAGCACAGATTTTCTCCCAGATGTAGTAGGATAGACCCACTCCTGTCTTCACCCAGGAGAAGGGAAATGTAGGAAATGCTTCATTAAGCACTGTGCTCAGAGATGGGATTCCAGAGAAGAGAGGGAGCATATGTGAATTTTGCTGTCCTGTCTTGGAGTCACCAAAAAGGAGAGTTATGTCTCCTGCCTCTAGAGGTGACCTGAGACAACGTGCCTAGTTGCTTCTTCTGCATCACAGAGGAGCAAAAGAATGAAAACCAAATAAAGTGTGAGAAACACCAATGCTTCTGAAAAAATGCAAAAGACAGAAATTTCCCAGTAAGAAAAAACAATACAAGTCCTATACCATCTATCATCTCCTTAAAGATATGATGAATAAGCAAGAGCATTTCCTAGAAGCCCTATACAGACAGCATTGTGTTAGGGGACACCAGTATTGAAGCCAGCCAGACATATTCATCACATACACTGGAGGACAGCAAGCTGTCTCCAGGAACTGTTGAAGAAGCAGAAACACCAGCAGCAGCTACAGAAAGGTTCACAGCATGCAGGAAGATGCCCACAAGCACGGATCCTTCTCCTGCACAGAGTGAGCTGGAAAAATACTTTCAGATAAGCATTTAGACAAAATAAATGCACAAGGAGCACATTTACAAAGCAGAGGGCCAGTGAAAGGCATCTTCAAAACTGAGTAATAAGGAAGGAACAGTAAAATAGAAAAAAAAAGTAAAGGAGGTAAGTGAGGTGCCTCCAGTTGTTCTGTCATGGCAGTACTGCCTACACAGCCTCCATTGCGTCACATACTCCACATGTCCACTTCCCATGCCAGCCTTCTTCCAAAGACCCTTTTATCCCTCAGCTGCTGTCTAAGCCTCAGTGCATCCTCAGTGTCCTCAGTGCCTGCTTGGCCACAGTATGGCCCAGTCTCCCCCATCTCCAGGAACAACCATCCTTGTGCAGCAAAGCACATGTTTCCATCCACAAGGCTGAAAGAAGGAAGGATGGGAGGAATGAAGGAAGAAAGGATCCCTCTTAAAGGAGGGGGAAGAAGGATGGAGACAGAGGCAAATAGGAGGGAGAGTGAAAGGGGCCATAAATTCCCTTCTAATTCCAAATAATTCCGATTACACGGATGAGTAGTTTTCAATCAGAAAGATAATCTCAAAGATAGATGGCAGGATAATTGCTCGTCGGCGCGACGTAAATATTGTGTCGTTTCTATTAATCTCAGCGAATCGGGTGTCAGGGTTGTCACTCATTCATCAAAACAAATTAAAAAAAAAACATATTAAAAAAAGAGAGAGATGCTGGAGGGAGGGGGATGTGTATCCAATAAGCAGCTGAAGGCGTGTAAAGTAATGAATGCTGCTTACATGCAGTTTGCATTTTTTGGTTTATAAAAGCTAAAGGTAACTCAGGCAGTAGGTCTTTATTAACCTCTTGGTAGGGACTCCAAAGGGCACTGCTGCATGCAGAATAGAGCAATAGGGTGCCAGAATGGGACTGTGGTTGCACAAAGTGGGAAGGAAGTGGACAATACACCCTAGATATGGAGGTGAATAGTCTGGGATTAACAACAGACAGAAGGTACTACAGAATCACAGTACCTGGGAAAAAGGACACAGACCACAGCATAAAACAAAGCCAGTGCCTCCACTTGCCATGTATAGGAGTGGGCGGGGAATAGAGAGCGATGTGGGGAAGCCAGCAAGAAGGGCACACAGAGTCTTGGTGCAATTTTGCCACACTGGTTGCAGAATGACAGCTTGTCACTGCCCCACTGCTATACTAACCTGTCTCCCTAGCACAGTATTCCCAGGCACTGTGCACCTCCTCTCCCTGCTCTTGCAAACCTTTGAGGAGGCACACTCTCCACAGCCCTTTGGTCCCCTAACCCTAATGTATCAGCTTAGTTCATTTCTGCTGACTCAGAAGGACCAATGCCCCCACACGCACCCCAGCACTCTCCCCCACTTCTGGAACCCCCTCACTCTGCCTAGGACAGTGCTCTGGTCTGGGACCTAAAGGTAACAGCTTGGGTTACACAGTGGTCAGTCACCAGTGTTTGTCCAGGGACTGAACAGAGAAATTCCTTGGGAAGACCCTCATTTCACTCTGATATCCATTTCCTGAGGGTTGACACCTCTTGCCCCAAGGTCAGGAGCCCTAGACTTGGCTTCTGCATAAGGGATTTTTTCTAGTGGACTCTGGGCTGAAACTACCACTTACACCACACAGCTGGCACAGTTTTACTGGCAGAGATCATGTGGGAATGAGGAACCTCAAAGAAAAGGCTCCCCATACAACTTTCACCTTATTCAAGGACATAGTCACATCTTTCCAAGAGTGGAAAACTTCTGCTTGGCAGTAGCCTCCAGCCACGCCATCCTGTGCTGCAATTCACAAGACCTGGTGAACCAGTCAAGGCTAGATAAGCATTTGAACAAATTACTTCCCCAGTAAATTCAACCATGGCAGGAGCAGTTCATAACTGCACAGGGAGTTATTAACTCCAAGCCAGGACTGTTTGAGCCTGCTGCTCACTGCTGTGATGCACAGGGAGCCTTTTCAGTGCATCATGATCATCTGTAGTCACTGAAGTGGTGCTCTTCAAACAAGTCCCCTCAGTTTGCTCTTGCCTATGTAGCATTTCTGTGGGGCTTGAAGAAAACTGTTTCCTTTCCCTGCCTGTAGTCTGTAGCAGCCGAAACACTATCTGAAGCTTGTGCTCTTGACTGATGTGTCATAAGTACTTTGGGATGAAAGAAATGCAAAGGTATTATGTTTTTAGACTAGACTTAGTTTGTCAACCAAGACAAGTTTTGGCCTCCTGAGCTCCAGGAAGCAGCTGACAGGTTTTGGCTGTAAGTTTAGCTTAGTGCTTTGCAACAGCCTGCTAACACAAGGACCTGAACCAATGCCCAGGGGCTGTCTTCACTAAACGGATTTGAAAAATGCTAATGTTTCATCCTTGGCCACGTCAGTGTTTCTGTTCACTTACTGCTGCTGTTTGCTAAGTGAATTTATTTATTTAAAAAGCTGTTCTATTGGTAGTTCCTGTTGAGAGTTGGAAAAAAATTCCCCATGAACATCCGCCTGGTGGGCTATGGCAGAACTGGTCCCAGTGTAGGCCAAGATTCTTTAGAATTGAGTGCTGTTCCCAGTGTACAGTCCTCTGGGACAGAAGGAGCAGGGATACTTCTCCCAGCAATACAGTTAACCTGTCAATCCAGCCAGCAACGCAATATCCGCTGGGGATTTCAGTTGCTTCTGTGATCCTGCCTTATCTCCCTGCATCCCTCAGCGTGCCCACTGCTCGGTGAAATGTCACTTCTCTCTCCCCTTCTTCCAAGATGGAAGTGAACTTGTGTGCCTGGCAGGGCGGCTGACAGACATGAGCTGAAAGACTGTCAAGGACCAACTGAAAAGCAGGCAAGCCACACTGTGTCAGATTTCGGGGTCTAACACTGCAGCTTTCTGTCTGCTCTTGGGCTAACTCTAAATGGAGCCTTTGATAGGCAGCCAGGCAGCTGTCATCACAGGGTCAGCCTCAGAAGCAGGAGGGTATGAGCACCTGGGAAGCACACGCAGTGAGCAGAGAATAGCAGTTGTATTGTAAGGCTGGGTACTTCAGGGAACCAGGAACACCAGAATGAGGGAAGAGTCAAGCATTGGACAATGGGATAGACCAAGGGCATCCATCCAAAAGTCCTGGAGAAACCTCAGTTCCACAATGACTTCTCAGGGGTGAAGTGTCCCACAAAACCAGCCTCCTACTAACTCCTTGGTGCTCATTTCCCTAAGAAATTAGCCTAAAATAGACTATTTAAGGGGAAAGACTGCAAAGGCAATTATCTTCAATAACCACCCAATGTCATTTTTCATTTCCCATGGGTAAGCATTGTATCAGCTTTTGACTTCCCCATGGCTGGAGTCAGAGCCTCTAAACATTTCTTGATGTTCAAGAAGAATTTGCCTCCTCCCTCCATGTCACACCTTTCCCAGTAAATGCCTGAATGGCTCCCCATTAAAAATGATTGAGCTCATCCCTAATGGATGTGAGGGAAGAATAAAACACCACACTGAAGGGAAGCTCCTCAATTCCCTCACTCAGTGGCCTGATCCCTATACCCATGCAAGCTGGAGTTACAATTTACAGCTACCAGTTAAGTCTCTGCTCTTACTCTGGAATAAGAGTTGGTCCTTCGTTTAGTGGACCTCTTTCAAGGTACCTCTGCAACAGCTTTGCAAGGTAACCAGCTGACTCTCTAGAATTTCAGGTAACACTTTTTTCAGAGACATGGAAAACCAGCATCTGTGGAGTGAAGGTTTTGTCACAAGTGAGAAACTGGGTGAGACTGAAATTGTCAGTAAAGAAAGAACAGCTAGTCTTCAGCATGAGACCAGTTCAAAAACTTAGTCACACCAGGGTCTATTCTAGGACTGCTGAGGTATATTATGTGTGACCTGGAAACTAAGAAGAACAGATGGTAGAAAAATGCAGACAACAGCCTGATTTAAATTAATCATGATAAAAGTGGACTGAGAAGAACCTCAGAATGAGAAAGCTGGATAGAAAGGCAGAAAATGTGGGTGAAATCCAGCAACAGCCAAAGCCAAGCAATGCAGACTGCCCTCAGAGAGCACTTCCATAGGCCTGGAATTTTCAAATGAATACAGGAAACATATACAGTTAAATGGAAATGACCTTTCACTCTACCAAAAAAAAAAAACCAAAAAAAAAAAAAAAAAAAAAAAACAACCAAAAACAAACAAACAAAAAAACCAAGGGAAAAGAAAATACAACCACTCATTCAGATACACCAGGAAAGAAATACTAAGTGATAATAGATAGGAATTTTTGTCCCTATGTTCTGTGCTCTACAGTAGCACTATCTCCAAGAGTATGCCAGAGGAATCTCTCAGGAGAAATGTTGCTGCCCTCCATCTTTTTCCTTCCTTACATACCATCACAAAGAGCAAAAGGGAACCATGCCCTCAGAGAGATCTATCATAGTTGGTTAGCACTGAATATCTTCTGGAATAGAGCAG